CCCGCCGGAAGGGCTCTGCGGCTGCCGCAGTGTCAGTCGTAAATGTGACTTACAAATAAACTTCATTGACTTGGATTTTCATTATCCGCGGAGTATAAAGGGATAGAGCCTGAGAAACAGGCTATCTCTTTCTATCTGAAAGATATAAACAGGGCTGCGGGGACCGGCAGTGGGAAGCTAGGGCAGGAGCTAGCCGGGAGACGCTTTCCTGGGAGGTGATGTGAAGCCGGGGATGAGCTGCAGCAAGTGTTAACCCCGGGGCTGGAAGGGGCTGGAGAGCAGGTCTGGGGCAGCACTGCCGGATCTGAGGGAAGGGAAAAAAATGGAAGATGTATAAGCAGAACCTGCATGAGACAGAGGGTTTAGGATTAGCATAGCAGAAGAGCGGGGCCAGGGGAGCAGCAGGTGTCCAAAACTGACAGAGAAATACCGAGGGGAACACATGGAATAACAGAAGCACGTAGAGGATAAACTAGGAGAGAGAGGTTATCCTTGATTGTACCAAATTTCTATGCTTGTTCTCACTTTCCTTATTCTCCAGTATTTTTGAAGACTGCTGTTACATTAATGAGTGTCACTTCCTGACCTCACCCAGGGCTGCATGCCAGTGCAATGTTTTCATTTGATCTCCTCCGGAGAATCCTGTTACAACCTGATCAGCAGAACAGTGCAGCAGCTGAAAATACTGTTTTGGTGGTGAAGAGAGAGCCATAGAGATATGGTGTGCCTGTCACGTTAGCGAACGGGTCTGGGGGTGTTCAGCAAAAACGTGCTCTGTCCTGGAGGAGCCATAGAGCCCTTCACAGGTTAGTCATCACCAGGAGGGACAGCTGCCAGCACAGCGAAGCGATGTGTGCTGCTGGCACGGACAGCAGACAAGATCCATGTGAACTTGGGCTACACAACTCAGTGAAGAGCAATGAATCTTTTGATGGCTTCTTCATTCAGTAATGGTAATAGATTTTTACATTGATTGCTGGGGGAAAGAGTGCCATTAATATGAGTAAGACTTTATATTGGGTATTTACATACTTGTTACTGTAGTGCTTTAAGGAATACAAAAGGCGCTGTATAAATCAATATCAATTAGTAGTATAAATTTCGAAAGCACTTTGCCTCTCTTCCTCATAGTTTATTCAGTGAATACAAACTGACTGTATCCTGTCTGTATCCACATGTATTTTTCTTAGTGTAAGCAGAAATCACTAATACACTGAGAGTACAGGTTGCATGCTTTGGGAAAGAAAGATGTGTCCAAGATGCTGACCTTGTCCTTGCTATAAGTAAAAAAAATAATAAAATCATTTCCCTGTTTGAATTCCCTTTCCCCTTGTTGGTGTTCTTTTGCAAGTTTTCCTTCCTATGTTTTGCTCAGGATTTTGGTGCACTTGTAGCAGGACATCGAAAGCAAGGTGAAGCAATATGATTTATTTTGCATAAGCCTAGTGAACCAAATATTTTCATTTCAGAGGAGCAAAGATACCACACTCCATTGTCCCTGTATTTTCACACTACAAAACAAATTGAACTGTAGAAAGCAAGCAGATTTTGTTGGTTTGACTGAAGCAATAATGGATGACTCAGGAGTTCTCACTCAGGTTTACATGTATTTGGGAGGAATCACAGCTCCCAGACTAATTTCTGGTTCTTGTAAAGTTAAAATGCTTATGAACATAGTAGTTCTTCCTATTTTTTTCATATCTCCTTCACTGCATCTTCTGTCCAATTTCACCAAGTTGGATAGTGAAATTTTTTCATCCACTGGATGTCAGTGTTACACTACCGCTGTGGTGCCTTTCCAGGTGCTGGGAAAGGTTGGATTTCTTTGGGATGAGGACATTTCGAAGATCTCTCTTCTGTGGTGGCAAGTGCTGTGAAAGACCATTGCAGCTTGGGGGAACAGGCTCCCTGCAATATGAATGTGCCCTTTGGCTCCTGCAGATGCAGGCTAGGACCCTGCCTGCAGACATCTTAAGTATCAAACCTCACAGAGACTGTAGCCAGAGACAGACAGACTTCACTGTTGGGGTCAATTCCGTTTGACTGTTCCAACCTTACATTGTGAAAATACACAACCTCTTCTTTTTTATAATTAAGTTTACTTGTTATATCAGTGAGACAAATAATACTGCATCTGACAGGGATACAATCCAGAAAAAGGCTGCATAAAGAGACTTCTATAAATAAAGAGTGCTGCCAGCTTGGGACAATTCTGAATGCAGGAAGGAGAGGGGACAAAACTTTAGAAGCAGCTTTGGTATTTGGAGTTGAAAGTCAAGAGTTTTTGAGATCTGACACTGGTTTATTATTTCCAAAAGTGCCATGACATTTTTTATAGGCTTGCTAGGTTTTTAAATCAATGTATCTGAGTGAACTCTGGATACCCAGTCACTAGAAACTAATGATATTTTTTTAAAAAGTCTTTGCTAACCCTGCCTTTTTTCTGCTTCAGACACCCTGAGCAGCAGTTATCTGTTGAACACAGAAAGAAACCAGTTACTTACCTGAGTTGCGACTAAGAGATGGGTTACTTTTTGGAAAGTCACAGTAAAGCTGTGCTCTTTATGGTGCCTTATGTTTAAATATTTTGATATGAAATGTGACATTTAACATATGATATAATGCTGTACTTTATCTGTGACTAAAATGCAGGCGGCACTTGAAAAGAAGATTGCCGTTGTTTAAAAGATGGTTCATAAAAAAGTAATGAAAGAATTGATGTTCTCTTGTTATCTATAAACACGGGCCGATTAGATTATTCTCTTACGTACATCTTTCCCCTGAAAGCTACTTTTTAATCTATCCTTTTCCTAGAAGACTTCAGGGAATTTTCAGCAGGCATATGGCATCAATGTACCAGGAGAATATAACAAATATTTGCAAAGATTTTGATCTGTATAAAATACCAATTATCCTTATTTAAAAGTATTTATCTTAATAATCACTTTCAGCAGAGACACCTGTTAGGAATTCAGTGTTTCCTATTTCCTTCAGTTGAGTGGAAAGAAGTTTTCTCAGCCATTTTCCTGTATCCTTCACAGAACTTTTCATGGAACAAGCAAAGGGAGGAAGTAATACTTCATATGCCTGGGAACTGTAAAAATGAGGATAGGAAAAAGGAATTTGTATTTAAAGTAGAGAATAGCAGATTTCAACACAGTGATTTTTTTTCCCTTCTAAGCCACTTGTAACTGCAAAGAACAAACACAAAAGAGCCATTTAAGGAAAAAAAAGTAATGAATACTAGAATTAAATTAAATAGCAGGAGGAAATTAGGGAAATA